CCCTGCGCCCCGGCACGAGCCCCGCAGCGGCCGCCGGCCCCAGACCCCTCTTCGGCATGGGCGAGCACCCCAGCCCCGGCCCCGCAGTGGCCGCCTGCGCCGAGGCGGAGCGCATCGAGGAGCTGGAACCCGAGGCCGACGAGCGGCCGGCGGCGGCGCCGGAGGACGTGAGTGCCGCTTCCCCCGCCCGGGCAAACTTTCTGGGGGGCGCTAGGGGGAGAGCTGCCCCCGACTCGCCCCTGTGGGGCAACTTGGAGGTTTCAAGGTGACGCGGGAGCGCCTGGGATTGGCCGGGTCCCCGCGGGCGAGAGGGGGCGGAGGGACCGGTCTCCCCTAAACGTGCGAGCGCCACCCCCTCTCGGGCTCCCGCGGCTTCCCTGCGGGAAGCAGCCGCGGTCGCTGCGCCGGGGACGCTTCGGCCGCCGGAGCCCCCTGCCCGCGCGCGGCTGGTGCAATGCCCGGGACACGGCGTTTTCCCGCAGAGGCGGGCGCGTCACAGCAGTGACTCCCCTCCCCTCCCACTCGCGACCTGCTGGCTCTCTCCGCCCAGGGAAGGAGCCGGCGCCGCAGAGTCCCCGGAACTCGGCTGGCTGACCGGCCTGGCGACCCCCTTCTTCACTCCCAGTTGAGCTCCCGCCCAGCCCCTGCCCTGTCGCGACACTGATTGCCATTCAAGCTGGCTGCTGCCCCTGGACCTGGCGGGAGGAGGGGCAGGAGTGCAGGCAGAGGTTTCGCTCTCAGAAGGGGGCCCTGGAGTCCCCGAATAGTCGGTTCCCGCATTGGTCCCCTAGCCAGGATGGGGAGGGGCTGCCCCAGAGGGCTTCCCTGCCATCTGCTGCTCGAGTCTCCCTTTCTTGGGTCCGGGGAGCCATCGGTGGAGCTGGCGCTGGGGAGTCCTGGGGTTTCCTAAGCTTCTCCCTCCCGAGGTTAACCTGCACAGAGGGGTGGAAAACTGGCCAGACACCGGGCCGTGCCGGGTTACTCTCTCAGGGTGGGGAAATGGAAGTGAAGCCAGGCCCCCCAGTTTCCCCGCCCCAACCTACCAAACCTAAACCGTAAAGTCTGAGTGTGTGTGTTGGGGGCGGGGCGCTTAACATCTTCCCTCCCTTGGGCTCCTGGTAGAACCTCTTGTCTTCACTACTTAAACAGCCTTGGAAGAGACTGGGTGGGTTTCAGAGCATTAGAGGAGACCCTTCCCCCCAAACTACAGGCAAAATGTTAGTGGTTGTGCTGGGGTGAGTTTTCCTGAAGAAAGGGGTCTCTGGCTCTGCAGCAGATCTGAGGGAATGGCACCTGGGCATGCATTCCCAGGCGTGGGAGTGAACGTGGGTATAAGCTTTATAGTTACTAGAAGTTATCACAGGCCCCTGGACAGTTTGGTCATCATTGAGAATCAACCTTGTTCTGCTCATCCCTCTGCCTGCCTGTCTTGGGAAGAGAGAAAAGGGACACTCCTCACCCCTCTCCCACCTGAGTTCCGTTCCTTTGCTCAGTGCAGACTCATTTGGAGAGCTCGTCCTAAGTTTTCCCTGGTCTCTTGGTGGGTCCCTAAATCTGGGGAGCATCTGGGAGGCTATATCAGAAATATTATGGGGCTGCAGAGGCTTTGGTGATAAGTATATGTTTCTTTCTCTCCTCTTCCTCCTCTCCTGCCTGGCCTCACTTTCTACCAGCACTGGAAAGTCCTGTTTGATCAGGTATGTGAGCAGTTAAATCACCCCCCTCCTTCCTTCCAGCCAACCTGAAATCAGTCTCCTTGCTTGCGTGGGCTTCCCTAGCTCTGCACTCCTGAGATGGTGACGTGGGGTGGGGGTGTGGCTTAGTGCATCTCAGGCTCTGAACGACTTTGCTCTCCACCGCTCTCCAGGTTTCAGGAGGAGGTGGTGGGCTCCCCTGAGACATCCTTACTTCCCTCCCGCCTCCTCTCAATGATGCTTCATGAGAGCTGGGTTTATACTACATAGAAATTGGGCAATACGTATTGAGAGCCTGGGACGTTCTCTCTATATCAGTGGGTTGCAGTGGGGGCTGGGGAGGTGGGGGAAGGGCGTAGGTCCATCATCGTAGATCCATGACCACCACGGAAGTCAAATCTCTGCCATCCTTAGAGGGTGACTCAGTATGGGCTCTTTTGAAAGCTAACTCTAATTTAGCAGGAATAGGGGGATTAGGGAAAATAGTATGTGATTATTTGCAATGCCTAGAGTCTAGGTGTGGGGAATGGAGTTGGGAGTGCCACCTTTGGAATCTGGAGATGGACATTTGACCTTCAGCCAGGAAATGGTTCCACCATGCAGAAGGAGAGGAGGCAAGAGATGTCCCAGTGTGGTGGCATAGTGAATGCTGCAGTCCTGGGGTGACAATGATTGTGCCATGAAGTTTGTGCAACTTTAAGAGACCAGCCTGACTGGGCCAGAGTGAATGTGTTTTGTTGGAGAGGGAGATAAAGCTGAAAAAGAAGCTCGGACCAGACTTTATCCTGTTGTAGACAGGGGAAGCCTTTAAATGTTTTTTTTATGGGATCCAAGCCATGCTTTGGGAAGATTCTATGTGATAGCAGGATGGAAGTGAGGGGGACTTCAGGGATGAGAGACACTAGCGAGGACCCTGCTGCAGTGCATGGACATAAACACCTTGACTTGGAAGATGACAGAATGGAAAAGAAGAGGGACATGGTGAGAGAGACTCAGATGATCTTACTAAACCTGAATAGATGAGGTGAACCACATAGAAAACTGGAGATTCTGAATCTGTGAGGAAAAGGAAGTCAGGTTTGGGGTACGGGGTGGCAAAATGACAATTTAGGTTTCAGACAAGTTTAGTTTGAGGAGCTAGCTAAATGCAGATGCCCAAGTGGGACCAAAGACTCAGAATTGCAGCTTGAAAGGCATGGCGGGCCTGGGGGAAATATAGGGGTATCATCTACGTTAACACAAGACCTGGCTATGGTTTGGGGAGGATCCAGCAGCTACTGTTCCGCTGTGGTAGTGCGTCTCTCCCTTGGCTCCTGAATGCCACCCACTCTCCCTCTGGCTCCTGTAAGTACAACAGCTGCTGGCCCGATGCCCCGAGGCAGGAGAAAGCCGCTTGCTGCCACTGATACCAAGACCAGCGAGCTGCCAGCCCTTCACACCTCTTGTCAGATTTAGAATCAGAACCTAGAACATAGTGTAGCATTCGTTTTTTCTCTCTGTCTGTCTTTCTCATTTCATTAATTTCCTTTGCTGGTCCCTGTGTGTGTGTTTACATTTTTAAAAGAACTATTTGGGTTAATGGAGGAAAACTTTTAGTAGGAAGAATTTGGAACTTGAGGGAGCAGAGAGAATGTGTAGCACATAATATTAGCAGGTGGTCTACGAAATCCAGTTTCTCCCCCGGGGAGGATGTCCTCAGTGTCACCAAGACCATCCCCCTGTTTCTGAGAAGGCCCATCCAGAAGCCATTCTGGTCAGGTGAAATGAATTCTAGGAAAGAAACTTTTAAAACTTACTCTGGACAAACAATTTTTCTCACAATTTCTACGTGTCTACTCCTTATCTCTTGTGTGGCATTAGAAGCCCATTTTTGTCATCTTCCTTCCTGTTGGTGCTTTGGTTGAAGGAGAGCTGCACCAGAGCAGGGCTGGACCTCTGGCGGAATATCCAATCCTTCCGTGTTTGTCCCCCGACTTTGTGAAGTCACTACTGGACTATTCCCCTGATAGGGCTAAGTGAAGAGTAGGTACGAAGCTGCACAAATGGATATACAGCTTCACAAGGACGTCAGGTTATTCAGAAAGCTGAAGCGTTTTACCCTTCCTGTCTCTTCCTCTGGGCCTGTCTTAAGGTGGGATTTGGTGATGGTGAACTTGGTGCACTTAGGAAGGAATATCTGGCTGGGAGTTGTCAGGAGCCTACCTACCATCTCCCACAGAGTTAGAGAGCCCTGATGAGTCAATCTGTGATGAATACAACATCTGTCAGAGTCCCTGCAAGCTGCTGTGACCCTAGAGTTCATTTTCCACAGGTCAGTGGGGTGGGAGGCTGGCCCCAGTCAGTCCTCCTTCCCTCCTGGGTCAAGGGGATACCAGTGGTCACCTGGTTTCAAACTGAGATCTGCTGGATACTTTTTCCAGGTGTCAGGAATTGAATTGGACCTGTCCATCCATGCTGTCTAGTTCTTCAACATGTAGAGTAGCTTTGATCTAGCATAAAGCTAATTGGGCCCCAAGAGTTAGAAGTCATGACCTTGGCCTTGTGGTCTTACATGGTCACCTCTCAACTAATTGGTCAGGATGCCTTTTCTGGGTGTTGGAGGTGAAGAAAACAGGTGAGCCTGGTCCCTTGGAAGTTTACCCAGCTTTCTCCTTGGCATTCTAAGCATTTGTCTGGTCTGCTCAAGCAGGCGTGTAGCATGCCTTCCCTCCTCCCCGCTCCTCAGTCTTCTGCATAGATCCCAGAAGTTATAGCAGGCAGGAAACCTGAAGATCATTACTTCTACCCCCAGATGTCCCATGTATTTGTTTCCAATTTTAACTTCTGCTTGAGGGAATTGTCTTTTCATATCTTTGGGATCTTAATGGTTTTCCTAAATATTAGATTTTAAAGTTACCTTAAGTATTAATCTTTTGTTATAATGTTGTGATAAAATGTTTTATTTTTTTTTACAGTTGAATCTGTTGGGCTTTCCCTTCACAATTCCTTCAGTCGCTTCAGACCTGAGACAGTTTTCATCCCTTTTCAGATCTCATAAATATAAACTTTTATTTGCTACCACTACTTCTGTGATTAAAAAAAGATCATCTAACCCTTTACCCAGATCTTATTTCTATCCAGTTACACCAGCATAACCTATTAAGAAATGCTTCCTTTATACATTGTTTGAGAAATGTTATCATTTGGTAAATTTTTATATGTGGTTAGGTATATTTTAGATTTTTGATCTATTCCACTGATACTTTCAGTGTTTCTCAGGTAATGTACCTTTTAGTTATTGCTTTATATTTGTGTCATAGCTTTCCTACAGGCTCCTCTTTTTAAGGTTATGTTTTGATAGTTTCATTCTCAGTCCCTTCTTGACCTCCAGGGATGTGTACTCCAGGACCCAAGGTCAAAAAAGAGGTCAATAGCAGATATGGGACTGGAGCCCAGTTAACCCATAAAGGGCTTCTGGGGTTAGAAAACCATTTCCAGGTTCTTAAAAATGTCTTCAAGATCTGCTAATGTTGAATGAGCAAAAGGGTTTGGAGCAGAGTTCTGTTAATTCACACAGCACAATTACTTTCAAGCTCAAACAAGCAAGAGGGAAAAGGAAGAACTGATAATAACTTGATCATGTCTCGCTTTTTTCATTCCCATGGAGAACATGTATATCCTAGGCCCCAAAAAGAGACCCCAACCTTGCTAATCTCCCAGAAGGAAAGTGGACAGCTTTTGATTATCCTACCGAAATTATAAACGTTAATTATAAATGTGCGATGAACAGAACCCAGGCTGTTTAGGTGGGCTACTGGGAACAGAACCCTGGATTTAGATTCATGTATACCTGAGTTCAAGCCTTACTGACTTTTGGAACTGGGGGCAAGTGACATTAGCTCTCTGAGCCTTAATTTCCTCCTCTGTAAAATGGAGGCAATCATTTTTAACTCCAGGCGTGACTGTGGGAATTCAAAGGAAGTGGAAACTCTCTTTGCAATGTCAGATAATCAGTGGACATTCGGCGTCTGTCTCTTGAGTGGGAATCAGAAACCTCTGGTAAGAAGCACAGGGCCACTTCTGAAATCCAGATCCCCCACAGGGAAGGTGGCGGCCTCTCTAAACCAGCTCCTTCCCAATCCAGACTCCTGGAGAGAGCCACCTCTGAGCCCAGAGGATTTTTCTGCTTGCTTTCCCCAGTGTCTCCCTGCCCAGCTCCTTTCTCTCCAGCCTGGTGGTCTTTCTTTGGCTTGACCCTGAAGCCCACCTCATTTGTACTCCTTCTGCAAGCTGGTTTAAGGGGGTTCTGGTTCCTGAGAAGAGGTTCAGATGAGACTGCCGAATGGATTAGTGAGGAGCTGCAGAGAAAACACCCACCCCAGAGACCCAGGCATTGATGGCAGCCCCTGGAACACAATTAACTGGCAGAGAGGGACACAGCCCCAGGCTTGACTGCAGCCCTTGCTTGGGCTCTGTCCCTCCAGCCCCTTACCAGGGTCCTTGAGGCTGTGGACTTCTGTCCACCACAAAGCCAGCTTCCCTACCCTGCTCTTGCCCTAGTGACCCCATCACTCATGCTGAATTAATACTTTTCTTTCTGACCACTCAGAGAAATGCATTTGGTAGTGTTTGAGTAGTGGGACCAAGGAATCTGAGATCGTTTGCTGTCTGGCTGGCTGCCCGCCTGACACATGACAGGTATGCACATGTTCAAGCAAACAACAAAGTAAACTACAGCCTCGCATGACTTGTCTTGGGTTCAGATCTCCCCTTTAGGGACAGGCCCTTTCTGTGGGGCTGCTTCATTCATGTTGGGCCCTCTGGGGCTGCTAACACCTCAAGCACAATAGATTGATTATTAGGAGGTCGATGGAAGCATCTTCCCAAATCACTCATTTTGCAAATGAAGAACCAGAGATCAGCGACCTTCTGAGGTCACTTGGAGCAGTAGTGTCAGAGCTGGGACTAGAGCCCAGCTCTGCTCCCTCTCTGACCTGTGTTCCTACCACCAGGCCTTGCAGATT